ACCTTCGTCTCGTTCATTCAAAGAATTTTAATTTACACATAATTCTATATATTATTTGGGAAAACCTACCTTTCAAGGTTTTCAGAAATATCATGTATGGTCAAGGACCGTCTAATATTTGGATATCATAATAAAAATTTGGATATTAAACTTTTATTAAAACAGATCGTTTTAAGCATTTGGATTAAACTTTTAAATTTGATATACTTCGTACGCCATATGACGTTCTAAGTTAGTATGTCAAGTCAAGGGTTGTAAAAAAAAAAACTTTGATAGATTGAAAACTGCTTAACTCGTATGAAGAAATAAGTACTGTACTATATATACATATTCTATAGTCGCATTATAAAGTATAAAAGGTTTTATATTCAAAATTCTAACAAAGCTTTAGTTGCTTGGAAATATTTGAGTTGATTTGGTTCCAAATTTTTTGCCGGTCCCTAAGCACGGTATACCCTTTACCTGCGTGAAATTTTCTAAAATAATACAGTAAAAGCATCTAAGCAAAAAACTTCGCTATAAATTTTTTGGTAAAAAACATATAACTTATCCCTTAGAGTCATGATTAATAGCATTTGTGGAAGCAGAAAACGAAATTGCAAAGATTATTTGATATATTAATTTTAAAGTATATATAACCTAAAACCATTTTTATTTTAATTTTCAAATTAATTTGTTATTTCAGCTTCTTATTTTTTTTTCTAACCATGTCAAAAACTGATAAATAGTTTAACGTTCACTCTTATTATATTATGAAAAGATCCGTGTAACATAAAATTATATAAGAATCATCTTAATTTTATTTACAGAACTTTCTTTCGTGTACTAACAAAAAAACTCCTTGCAAAATTTTTAGTATACTATATATCCTGTTAAACATTTATATTATTCTAACGATATGTTTTATTGTTTTAACGTGCGTACCGTTATTTGATCGAATCAAAGTTGATGAAATATATTTCGTCCAATAAAAAAAAGCAGGATTTCTATGCGTCCAATAGGAACTGTGACCATAATTTTTATAATTATGATGGCTGGGGATTCTAAATTTGTAGATTATATTGGTAATATTTATACAAGTAATTCTCGATATAAGAAACCTTCGATATAAGAAACTCTCGATATAAGAAAGCTTTTTGCAAGTCCCAATTAAAAATTCTATTATAAAAAGCTCTTGATATAAGAAAATCTCGATATAAGAAAGGTTTTGACTGGACCAGCATGATGGAAGTTTGTTTTGATTGGTTACTTATTTTATATAGACAAACCATTGTTACACAAGTTTTTATATTATTTTACAATAAAAAATCCGTATCTAAAGTAGCAATATCGAAATTTTTATAATCAAAGCCACCTAAAATTTTGTCAGATGATTTTTCAATAGCTTATCTTTCATATAAACGTTTCAGATCAAGTTAGATCAAGTGTTTCACCAACTTTTATTAGAAGCGAATCTGATAATGCCAAAATATAGAACGATAATATTTTTTAGCTTTTAGATAGTAATAACTAATAAAAATAAGGATTTTCTTTCATGTGAGCAATATTAAGATCAGTTGTTTCACGAAATACTATAAAAGTATTGGAGATACAAATCTTTAATTTTAGCCAATCAGAATTTTTGCTGATTAGCCAATCAAAACAAACTTCCATCATGCTGACTGGACCCGGCAACTTTCTTATATCAAGATTCACTTGTATTCTAAAAAAGTGGGGTAGGTTCAATATAATGATCTACATATTGCATAAGCTGTTTGTTTATTTAATTCAGATAGATAAAAAAAATATAACTTTTCACTAAAACACACATTCTTTCAACAATATTATGCATAATTGAGATTTACGGATTTACATTCATTTGATTTGTTTTACAATGCTTTTTTAGAAGACATGGAAATCTTAAAAGCGATTGAAAACTGGAAATAAAAATACATTATCAGATAAAGTAAGGATCAAACATTAATGTGCATACAATTTTTATTGGTATCAAGTAGAGATGGGCAAAATGCAATATTTTCATTTTAGCATGCATGCATGCATGCACGTTTTGGCCAAAGTTATGATAATGCTGGCCAGAATTAATTGCATGCATGCAGCAGTCATGCGCATAGTGCCCATCTCTAGTATCAAGTATATTAACTAATTATTTTTGTATCGACAAAATTACGTAGAATATTGAAAAAGACCTCATTCGAAATGAAGTGTGGAAAGTTGGACCAATATTTCTTTCAAAAAACTCCAGTTGCAAAAAGACAATTTTCACATAGTTCCTTGAACTCGAATTGGAAATTTTAATTGTATACCTAAATTCATCTGTTTTATAAAGGAGTGAATTTGAATATTTTATCAGATTAATTAAGGAGCCTCTTAGATTATTGAAAGATGTCATTGGGATATTTGGGACGTATGTAATTTTAATACTTTTATACTATCTCGTTATAATATTATGATTTTAAGAATTTGAATATCATGATCTTCTTAATATATCTAGCTAACCTGAACAAGTTTGTAAACTGTAAAATTTAAAAAATACGATAATATAGTAAATAAGTGACAAAAAAATTTTGACATCGATGGTTCAAAGGTAAAAATGCAGAAATGTGATCTGTTGATCTACAATCCATATATTTGCTTAAAGCTGTATTCTTGTGTAATCTGTTCAAGTTGCTTATCAACTATTCAAACTGATCGAATATTCGATCCATTCAAGAAAGAATTTAAAGCCTTTGAATATTATAATGTCGATGAAATATGTAACTGTTACATTTGTGGAACTGGATGAGTATAAGGCTTTCGAATATTTTCAAAAAGTTACTGATATAGGTGATGTTAGTGGAATATTAAATGTAGGATATCGTTATCGAAATGGGATCGAAAAGTATAATCACAATGCATTTACTATTTATCTTAGAGATGGGAACATTATGAAAATGGAATTGAATATTTATAATTTTATACTGGGGAGTTTAATGCCGGCTGTTATCTCAAAAATTAAGTATAAACTGTATAATTAAATTAGATGTTTTAAGTAAAAATGTTCAAAAATTTATACTAATTAAATTTTAAACATTTATATCTTAGTCTATAATTGCATTTTGACTTCAAATATAATACAACCCTCTAGTGTAATATTAATATAAATCATTTTTATATTAGAATTTATCTTCTACTTTTATATTTTTTTTAAATAATAAAATAATTTTTTTAATTTTTTTTAACTAAAAAAATATTTAAAATTATAGGTTTTTATTATTTATATTGTAAATAGATTCTATAATTAATTTTACTTGTAGTGATACAGTAAGTATTAATTGATATTATATAAAATTTTTATTAGAAATTAAATTAATTTCAAGTTAGAATTGGTTTTAAATATACTGTATTTAAAATTAAATATTAAAAAATTTTAAAAAAAATTTTTGTAATAAATTTTGAATTATTAAATTTATTTTTTACTTTGATTTAATTATACCCAATTTTGAATTATAAATTAATTTTATACAATTAAAAACATTATTAGCGAGTTTAAAATTATTATAATTTATAGTATAGCTTAAAATAATAAATTATAAAATAAAATTATAATTTTATATTAAAAAATTATTCTTTATAAGTATTGCTAACAATGTTGATTATAAGTTCAGTAATTTGAATTGAACTTATACAGTATATTCCAATTAAAATCTATAATTCTAATTTTCCAATTATACTGTAGATTGCCCAACGCTAATTGCTAAATAAAATATTCAGAACTCTCAAAATTCTGTTTCATATCAAAAATTGCACCCTAACTCTAAAAAAAATAAAGGTGGTAATTTCCTTCTAGTTAAATATAGTTACTTCATATTTTATGTTTACTAAAATAAAATTTCATTAAGTAAATATTTTAATACAGTAATTATTTAATCAAATTTAATAACTAATTATGTGTAATATGATCAAAGTCTAGATATTCTTTTACACTCAATGCTCCATTTCGCTTTATCAAAGACGATATTTACCGTAAAATTCGTAACATATACCCTGATACATAAGTATGATAAACACTATATATATTATACCAGGTATCGCGCGAGATGATATAATGTAATAATTTGCGTAAAGATAATGTCATTATATTTTGCGAGGTACATCTCTTTTTAATACGGTGTACGTCCCTGGAGAAGTGCTCGGGTACAAAAATCGAGTGGTGTAATACCCGGGTATCCGTATTATTATTGCTAAGGATTGGAATCGGTTTAGTCGACTAAAAAATTTTTATAGTAAGCTACTATGTTTAGTCGACTACTATGTTTAGTCGACTAATTAGTCGACTAAACATAGTAGTCGACTAAACCGATTCCAATCCCTAATTATTGCATGGAAGGATAGAAATAGTATACAAAGGACGTAGTGTTATAAAAGAATCGCTTTTTTTTTTGCTGGTTGAAGATAAATCATACTGTGATTGAGGAATATAACTTTAAATAATTATAATAAAATGAAATTATTAATTTTTTGGTAATTAAAATTGATTCAGATTAATTACCATATATACAAAGAGAGATCAAAATCAAAAGAAACATTTGAATAAATCAACAATTTTGCAAATAGCAATGAATATTATAATTTTGATATTTAAAACTACACATGCTAGAACTAATTATTTCTAAATACATAAATATTTGTGTCAAAAAATGTTTACTAACGAATACTTAATATGTTTAATATACTTAATAATATATATAATATAATATCAAATATATTAAAATATTCATTCTACTTATTCACAATGTTCATTTTAAGAGTATTATTTCAATTAATTCAAATCTTACGGAAAACTCGTTATTTCACTATCACAATATTTTCCTTTAAAAAAAGTAAAAATTGCAATCCACGATATGTGCAAGATACCTAATATAACACTAATCCATATTCTTTTACTAAATTTATTTAAATATTATTATCAATAAAAATTATAAAAAAGTTTTAATAGTACAACCATATAGATATTTTAGTACTTACGACAAAAGGTCCAATATTGCAAAAACAAGGATAGGATAAAACACCCATGATGAAGGTAAATAAGGTGAACAAGGTGTTAAACATGTTATAACCTATAATCAACAAAAAATTTAAATAAGTAAAATATAATATTAAACAAATAGGAATGATCACTATGGTAAAGCACAACAAACCTTCGAAACTGTAATAACAAGTTTAAAAAGTTTCCACCAGCCAACATCCTCAAATATTTGAGAATACATGGTTATAATAATATATGACAGTCGCGATATTGATGATGGAGGCACACGAATTACAGCTGTCGAATTTTCATGAAGTGATCCGTTCTTAATATTATTAATAAAAAAAGTCAGTAAGGACAATGGTGTAAAGAATAATAACAAATAATATACAAATAATAATATAATAAATAAACCCGAAAAATAATTAACAAAACTTAACTATAGAAGATCCCTGTTCAACCGCATAATCGGTTTCAACGGTAGAATTAATAATATTAGTTGTTGTTGGTATCCCATCAGTGGTTTCAACATTTATTTTTTTTCGTCTTCTTAATTTTGATCCATTTATTTCATTATCATCTGTAGATTCTGATGATGATTCTGATATTGAAAAAAATAATGTACAATTAACATGTTAAAAAAATCGAAAAAAAAGTTACAAAAAAATAGCAAATAGACACTACTTACCAAGGTTTGATGCAATTGTACTTGCATTTGATGGAATTCGAGTAAGTTTCTCGGGTTCCAATTGAGAACTACTTGCAGATGAAGAACTTTCTAATATTGGAGTAACTTTGAATGGATCCTAAAATATGGATTATAATTTTCACTATTTGTTTATTTTTGTTAATTTATTATTTTATAACAAAAATATAGTTACGGTTGTTACATCAATTGTTTCCCCTGTTACAAAAGCGGAACGCATATCGGCAACAGATTTTAAAATCTCATCACATGACGGCCTACTTTTAGCATTGCGAGACAGTAAGCATGTAATTAAACTTCTAAGTTGACTAGAAATCCTACGATTACTAGCCATACCAATATCTGGAAATGATACGCTTTAAATTATGTATAGTTGTATAGTTCTGTAGTTAATAAAAAGTGTATTCACATGATTTTAGCAAAGAAAAATACCAACCAATTAAAATGTAAAATTTCTTGTTTCAAAAGATCAACATCATCATTTTGACGATATGGAAGTCTCGAATAACATAAATAATAAAGTACCATTCCAAGTGACCACATATCAGACTTTTGAGAATATTCTTTAAGATAACGACCTCTTTCATCAACTATATAAAAAAATCCGTTAATTACTATTGTTTATTTTAATTTTAACGAATAATACATATACTCGCATGTCGTAGTATTTACCAGTTATTAATTCCGGTGCCATAAACTCTAATGTTCCTGTAGCACCGGTTCTATCACGTTCAGTAAGTTGGTCTATAATTTCACATTCACCAAAATCAGATATCAATACTCTTGGCCTAAATAATATATAATATAGAAATAATATCAGATAATGTAAATAAATTAATTAATAAATTAATAAAATACAATATTATTAATTATAATTATCAATGTACGTACATTCCAGATAAATCATTCGGATCATCATATTGTAAAAGTAGATTTGAAGGTTTTAAATCTCGATGAATGATACCCTGCTTGTGTAAATGAGCCAAACCTTCACAAATATCCATAAATAAATAACAAATTTCACGAAGGTCTAAAAATCGTTTTGAAGGTAAAGGAGAATCAAGAGTTGGTTGTTCATTTAAATGACCAGTATGCCACATTCTTTTCTTATGAAGTAAACGTTCTTTATGTGTAAGATGTTCATTAGAATCTTTTGGTATTGAAAAAGTGGATGATGGTTGAACATCAATGAATTCTTCTAAATTGCCACCATTAGCACGTTCCATTAGTATGAATAAACATGGAACTGGTGGGCCTAAAAAAAATAAAAATAAAAAATATAGAAATCACGATAGAAATAATAAATAAATAAATATAGCACTTATAATATAGTATTATTATACAATAGTTACAAATATCATTTATGCAAAGGATGTACCAAAATTTGTCAATTGATGATGTTCTAACCAAGCATGTTTATAATCTATAATATTCGGATGATGTAATCTTTCCAATAAATGAACTTCTCTTAACATTTTAACCAGCCATGAATGATTATCACCTATTTGTAATATATATTTAGTTTAGTAATCAAAAGAAAATAAAATGAAATATTTCAAATTCAAAAAAATTCAAAAAAATTAATTTAAAAATTCAATGAATTTATTAGCATTCTTACCCACGGCTACTTTCTTGACAGCGTATTCACCAAGATGAACGTTATCCAATACGTGCTAAATAAAAATTAAATATAATAATTTAGAAATATGTTTATATAATATTTCATATAATATATATTATTTTAATAAATATAATTGAAGTTTACTTTGCACAAGAAAACAGAACCACGAGAACCTCTACCCAATTTTTTTTCTTCAATAAAAAATCTTTGATAATATCCTTGATTAAAAGAGCTTTCCGAAAGTGATGAAATATTTTCAGTAATAGGTTCAGGAAAGGAAGTAGTAGGATAAGGAGAAAATGAATGAGTTGAATTAGTTGGTTGTACGAATGTAGAAGGAGATTGCCCATTAAGTACACTATAAAAATTTTTTTTGAAAATTAAATAAATTTGAAGATTAAAATTTAAATAAAAATAATTGACAAAAAATCAACCAACTTTTCAGAGTTTTCTAATAATCGAAAGTAATTTCTATGCATAAAATCTGATCCTGAAGTCTTTTTTTAAAAAAATAAAAGATTAAATCATATGAATAATATGAATAAAAAAGATTAAGGATAACAAAAAATATATAAAAACTAACCGTAGTAAGAGGCCTTCTACACAAAGCGCACATATGAGGAGAAGACAGAGCCTTTTAGAATAATAAATGAGCCGCGATATTAATCAAAAATTTCAATTGAATTAAACAAAATAACATAAATTGCGTCAGTAAAGAAACCTGATTAGATGGATTATTTAGCCGGCGAACTGATACGCGACGATTAGTCGTATTGTAAAGAACAAGTTGACCAGCGTTTTCACTACGCCTGAAGATAATGAATTACGCCAAAATATATATAAATATATATATTTATTTTATTTTTTTGTTTAACTGGGAATAAAGAAATTGATATTATAGAAAACATTTGACTTTATTTTAATATTAACTTTTAATAAATAAAATTTTTCGAAATGATTTCGAATCAAATAATAGATTTAACACATAAAACGCGTTCTATAATTAGGTATTAAAGTCGAATTAAATTTATTAATGATAAAAGATAATTTTTTACTCACATTATAACGGTCCATTCTTTTGAATAAGGAACCAGTTCACAATGACTGTCAGTATAGCTGTTAGTATGACTGTCAGCATGACTGTTAGTATGACTGTCAGCATGACTGTTAGTATGACTGTCAGCATGACTGTTAGTAGAGCCAGAGCCAATAATAGTAGGTTGAAGTGACACGTTTGGTGGTTGAGAAGAGTCAAAATCGCCATAAGCAAAAGTATTTCGCCGCGATCTCACAATTCTATTAGGGTCAAAGAGATTAGGAGCATAGGAATCGGGTTCAGAAGTATGTAAAGTTGATATGCTGTTATCCATATCCGAAGGAAAATTGGAACTTAAATGCGGTGAATTCATTTTGTAAAATTCGAAGGAAAGTTTAATTAATATTTAGAGAGGTATTTAGAGAGGTATTTAGAGAGATTCGTAGTTTAACCATAACTAATATAACAACGTTAATTCATTACTGTTTATGTCATAACAGATAATAACTTCGAGGGGTATTATAATTTATTATGTATTTTTCATTCTGTGGAACTCACATGTTACAATAGTTAAGTACAGCAATACCGATACAGAAGTATATAAGTAATCCCGTGATTTAGTAGCATTCGAATCACAGAAGATAGAGACTATCGAATTGGTACGTTAGTAAATAAGTAACGCCATTAGTAAAGTTTTTATTGTATCAATAAACCCTACATAACTATAATAAACGGCAGTATAATACATTTCTGCACGTAAACCCTTTACTAAAAAAAAGGTGATCGCGTTAGCAGAATCGAATGATATTAAAAAAAAAAAAATCGTTCGATTCTGAAACTTGGAGCGTGATATAACCATTTCTGATATAAACATTTCTCGAAAGATTTTTTTAATGTATACTTTTATGCGTATTGTTGTATTTTGTAACTTTTTATCACCTTACAGCCTTACCCAACTTTATACAACTTTATACAACTTTTATATATACATCTTATAAAATTTTAATCAAAGATGTTCATTGAACATATCACGAAATTTATTCTTAAATATTTATTAGTTTAATTATGTTTAATAATTTAATAAAAACAATTATTTTATACGTATTTTATGTAATTGCATTTACTGTATAAAAAATAAATTATTTATGGTCGAACCAGTTACAGAAAAAGTTAACAAAATTTGGTATAACATTGTATTTATTATAATAGATATTTTTGCGTAAAAAGCCGTTTATTTTGGCTCATGAAAAGTTGAATCATAAATGATCATTATAAATTATATATACATAAATAAATGATATATATAAGTATAAAAGTATATAAGTATATAATTTGAAGTAATATAAAAACAGTATATATACGGGATTATAAAAAAGAAGGAAGCTACTTAAAAATAACAATATTTTTTTTAAAAGAAAAAATGACAATATCGTGTTACAATTATAAAACAATGAGTTAATTCACTTTTTTTGTTTTTTTTGTCCACGCGACCTTTTTAGATATACCACTGTAGACAATCTAAAATGGGACAGATTCGTAAAAGAAAAGTAAGGTTATTTCTTTCGTATTTTTTGTACTAGCATTCACGTTCTTTTTTTGGATACTAACTGTTTCTTTATATACTTTTAATAAATGAAAATGTTCACGAGGGATTGTTTGTGAGAATTGATAATTCTCAAGCACGATGTCAGGTGCTAATTTTCAAAAACTTTGATGAGAATATTTTTATTATAAAACACAGTATAATAAAGTTATTAAATTTGTTTAATAATAATGTTTTAAAACTGTTTAGCAAATAATCTACATATAATTAACTAAAATCAACCGATTGTTCATAAATTTATAATTGGTTAAAATTATATTTTGTTTTTTTTGATTATTCTGCACCACGTGATTAGTTACTTAGAGGAGTCTACAGAGGAGTCTACAGAGGAGTCTACAGAGGAGTCTACAGAGGAGTCTACAGAGGAGTCTACAGAGGAGTCTACAGTAAAGGAACAACTCCCAAAAAAAAAACAATGCGCATGGCAGTGATAATTGCATAATTCTGTATAACTCTGTATAATTCTGTAATTGATACCGACATTTATTTGCTAAAGGTTGATAAGGAAAGTTATACTTTGAGATACTTCTTTATGAGCATTACTATCACTATCACGATTAGTTAACAAATTAATATCAATCATTAAACGATATCAAATTATGAATTCTTTTTTAAAAAAAAAAAATTTAATCAAAAAAAAAAAAATTACATCTTTAAAATCTTTATAATCTTTAAAAACAAATATATACTATATATAAGTGTAAGCGTAATGAACATAAAAAAAACAAATTACAATTTTTTTTTCTTTTTTTTTTGCTTGTTAAAAAGCTATATAAAGTTTGGTTTAAACAAAAATAACTAACTTTTCGAAATAAACCAAAAAAAAAAAAATTTAATTTTAAAAAAAATATATACAAAGAAAAAACATGAATTGTGTTGAGACTTTGTTTGAAAAAGGGACGAAAAAAAAACAGTGTATTACTCGTACAAAATACAAATGTTCAATGTTTATTCCCTTTAAAATATGTAAGCCTGGGAGTTACTGTAATTAAAGTTGAAGCCTATACATATGACACCCTTATGTGTTATTGCATAAGAGAAGGTGAATTTTGGTGAATGGCCGAATGGACGTATCCTTCCTTTTTTTAAGGAAATAGTTACAAGCCAAATTGGACGTGTTCCTATTAATGTAAAAAAAAAAAAAAAAGTATCAAGTATTAATACTGATAATGTAGTATAATATCGCAAAAATAATAGAATATTTACCATAGCAACTTGAACCGAAGAATCCTCTCGGTTGCTTTCCCAAATTTTAGTATTAGATAAACGACCAGTGATACTTGTTGAAGCATCATTATTATTTCCAACAATCAAACTAAAAGGATTCATTTTGGAAGGTAAAGTATATCTTCGAACAGGCATTTTTCTGAATTGAATTTGATTAGGTTCGGAGATAGATTCTGATGCTCTACGTTGTAAATTTGGGTGCGAAGTAGGTGAATTTGTGGGTGAAGTTGTGGGCGAAGAAGCTATTGATGATATATCAGATACGGAATCTGATGTATCTCGGTAATGACGTCCATCTTGTTCGTAACTATTATCAACCATTCCAAAACCAATCACTGCTGCAAATGTTGAACCGAGACGTGAAGACATTATTAAGTAAAATTGTATATAACGTTATATTTTAATGAATAAAGTGGTTATAATGGTTATAATTGTAATAACAACTGTTTATTAATAATTATCGTTATCGTTATTTATATTTTTAATTATTATATTTATATAAAATTTAAAAAAATTTTTAAAAAAAATTTATTTTTTTTCAAAAAGAAAAATCAAAAAAAAAAAAAGAAAGAACGAACAAAAAAACTAACGACCGTTGATTATATTTATAATTTAAAAAAAATATTTAATATTTAAATATATATAAAATAAGAATAGAATAGAATTTTTATATATATGTATTTCTCCGAAAAAAGAGGAAATGAGAATTCGGGATAAAATTTCGGAAGAGACAAGAATTGGGGGTTTTATAAGTTTACAAATATACAGTTCATAATAATAATATAAATTTTTAATGAAAGATGAACAGCTGATAAGATGTTTTTGTTCCGAAATTGTCGCCTGTGGGAGATTTTTTTTGTTTTGTGTCGTGTGAGCAAAGAAAAACTTACTTTTTTTATGTTTGTGTTTACTGTAACAATAATTTCAAAAATTTTGTGTAAAAATATAAATAAAAATATCAGATATATTTATTTTTATATATATTGCAAAACTGTATATAATACTGTATATAAATGTGATTTTTGAAAATTTCTATTTCATAATTCCAGGATTATTCAGGATTATCCAGGATTATTCATGATGGAAAAGTGACTTCATATTTTATTCCGTGTAACTTCCACAGAATAAAATTACTCATATGTTTATGTGACAAAGTTAATTATGATGAATTGTCGTGACAATTTCTCTTACTTGTTGATTGTTAATAAATTTAATTAACTAACTAACTACTAATATTGGTTTTACTGTAAATAAATAAAGTTTACTAGCCAAAGAAAGTACAAACACCACAAGACCAATTTCCAATGCTGTTAAACATCATATTTCTGTACTTTAAGCAACACAACATATCGTCATTCTCAAGAATTACGCGTGATCTTAACTTCCTAAGGAAGTTAATGCCGGTAGTTTTTAGACTAACGATAACTGAATACTGTAATGTGAATAACGATAATGTGAATAATGTAGTGGTAGCAAATAGTAATAACGTAAAGAAAATAAAGAAATTATATATTACTGTAGTTTGTATTTAAATATTGTTGAAAAAAGTTACCGATAAACAAATTTCAAATACACTTTAATATAAAAATGCATTTACTCAATATTTATAATATTTATATAGTATAGTACATTCACACTGTATATTCACAGCATTCAACAATAATTCAACAGGTAGATGCCAATCAATTTTTTGGCGTATTTTTAATTTTTCTAATTTTATGCATACAGTTGTGTGCCATTCGACAAGCGAACCATCTTTTTAACCGTCTTGGTTCTCATATCCCGAAAATTATTATTAGAAAATTATGGTTGGTTCTTGAACTGTCACTTCAAATATGTCGCGTGAGTTCGTGAAATATGTTATTTCTTGTTTTGTTCAAATTATATGTGTTATGTAGATCTATTAGATGTTGTGTTTTATATTCTCTCTGTTTTGTGTGATTTCAGTGCAACTCTAAAATGAACCTGATAATTTGAAATCCAATTACAAATCTAAGCCTCTTGCAGCTTAAAAAGCGTAAAATGTACTATGAAATAAACAACTTAAATCAGATGACCAACTTACCAATCCGTAATTCACTCTTACAAAACGCCTTTCTCATTTTTTCTCAGTGTGACAATTTTTTTTAACATGTGTACATTTATATAACCCTGCATTCATACATAATTATACATTATTCTTGGTATTCTTGGTATATTATGCGTATATTATGCATATACTTCATATATACTTCATATATACTTCATGCGTACAAATACTGTACAAATACACTAACAATTTGCCAGTTTTTGTGATAACGTGATGACGGTTCATCTTTTTAAAACTTATTTTTAAAGTTATTAGTATAAAATATCTATAAATGGTTATTTAAAAAGGTGGAGAAAGTTTTATATTCGTTTCAATGATTTTACTTATACGCGAACACGTATATAATTTTATATTGTTGAATTTTTTTTTCTACGTATATTTTTTTTTGGCGTATTTTTCAAAACCATCCTTATCCTAGATTACCTAGATTATCTCGTTTTTTTTCTCTCGTGCTGGCTCACTAAACAAATATATCATAAAATAAATAACATCATAGGATTTTCAATATTCGTCATTTGATTCAAATATATTCAAATATGTCATTGTTTATATCTTTCAAGACTATAACAAGAAGAATCTGTAATTTTTGAACGTGTCATAAATTTCATGTACATCCCCCACTAGACAAATTTGCTATTGTATTAAGTTTTCTAGAATTTTCCACTTTATCAATTTACCCCACAGAGAATCCGCTAAACTGATTATGGTAAACTTATTGGGAAATATCTGCTTCTATTGTAAATTCTTAAATTCTATATAAATTCTATATAAATTCTATATATTCTACGTATAAATTCTATATAAATTCTATATAAATTCTATATAAATTCTATATAAATTCTATATAAATTCTATATAAATTCTA